GGTGCTCCGAAGCAATTCTCCAGGACCAAAACACTTCAGATTCGGTCCAAAAAATTCATTTCACAAAGCAGATTAATTCACAAAGAGGTCGAGACACAAGACCACAGTACAACAATTCTAGGATAAAGACCTAGAACCAATTCATCCAAGGACAAAAATCAATAACCCATCGACCATGAGCCCCAAAAAACCGCATCTTTTTGCTCGTCTCCTCAACATATCCTCTCCTCAACCCTTAGATGTTTAGCAGCAATAATAAATAGCAACTGTAATCCGTACGTAACAGTTTCCACCTCTCTGGATGAGCCAGCCGCAAATTTCCTCGACGATCTACAACAACATCTACAACTGCAATTCATCTGCCTTTGTGATATCGTTTTAGCGACAGGCGCTGTCTGAATGACTTTAGTCTATCCTGTGCTCAAACTGGTATACAACCCAGAAAGCAACGATTTATTGTAATTCGTTTACGAACCAGTAAATTAGTGAGAATTCTATGCACATGCATATGTGTGTGCATGGGTGTACAAAAAATAATTTGACTCTCGTTGCAAGAACGTTTGGATATGAGGATTTGTTCTGAAACACGGACTGCTCACCTGCTTGCAGACTTCGGCGTGTTTCCTCATCACATTCAGACTGAAGCAACAACGCAAAGACAAAGCATGCAACAAATACTGCTGCTTCAATTCACTGCATGATGCAGAACGAAGGACCAGAAATCATTGTCAAAACATTTGCTGCCCTCGATCGGTTGATCAGAGTTCAAGTTCAGTGTGATGATATAAGTTTAAAAAGCCGAACAAGCATCTTAGAGCTATAAATAATTGTGCAATAACAAAGTACTCGAATGGAACAGTGAAGCGAGTCATGACCCTAAAATTTAATGAATTTAAATCAGTGTATTATTTGCGAGAGAGGTACTATCACCAGACACTTAATATTGTTCTCATAAGCAAAAATTCACGTTTAAGATCAAGTGCCGAACACAGGAATCGGAATGTCAGTATCTGAACGTTTTTTTTTTGTTTCTGCAGGCTCGTCTGTCAACGCGCACTGTGCGTTCACAGTCACTAATCGCGGCGAGTGAACTGTGTTAATTTTGTGTTTTTCGAATGGCAAAGTAAATGATGATGACAAATTATCCGCAGATTTTATCATTCTTATGCTTCAGAGTCACGCAAACTGTTTTTTGAATAAACAAACTTTAAATTACTTGTTTTTTAAACAGGTTTTTTACGATCGAGGAAGTAAGTAAAGTCGTTTCATTCTGCAGTTGCAAAGGTCGTAGAATTTCAAGGCGCATCCAATTTTATCTATTTTATTAGAGAAGAAATCGCAAACAGATAAGCAGGCTGTTTTAATGATAGTACGAGTTTGATGTCTCCATGGAATCCTTTGCAACCGACAGCTGTCAAATCGCCAAATCCAACACCGACCAGAACGCTCCCCTCCGTCTTCGCCCGATCCACTGCAGTCATTCTGTCTCCTCGACGACAGCCACTGTTTAGTGAGGCACTAGCGCCATAAAATTGGCAGCGGAAGCCGTAAACAATCAACGCTGGAGGAGCGACGAAAGAGTAGGAAAAGTTGCACCAGTCACACTCGACAAACACTGTTTGTTGTTGCACTGCAAGGACCCAGATCAACAACAGCATAGCCGAAACCGGTTACGTGTTCTGGAGTCCTTTCAGTGGTTTTTTAGTGCAACCGTAGTTTATTTGCATAATTTCGTATTGAAGTCCGGGACCCTGAAGTCACTTAAAAAAGATTCGGAGGGCGGAACCGACCAAAGATCACTTCGTAATTTCATGTGAAACTCGATCATAAGAAAATTCGAACCGTTATATTTGGATTGCGGATGCGGATTGGGACGTATTAGCTGCAGTTTTTGTTATGCAGCGCGCTAGCACTGCTACAGTAAGCAAAAGCACATATTGTCGAGAGGTCGTCTGTGTGCGTATGTGTTCGGTTTGTCAACCACTTTGAACTCAATATTCTTCTCTCAAGCTGCTGATTAGTCAGCGAAGTGTTTTTGCAATTGATTTACTGAAAGCCGTAACATTGGAAGCTGTTGTTGTTGTGGAAAAGTGGCTGGTTAGTAACATTATATATTTGTATGAAGCTGTTGTTTTCTATGAAATTCATAAGCGGATGTAGGGGGAGGGCGAAGCATTAATGCTGAAAAAGCCTCCTCTGCCCCAGCCGGCACAGGTATTAATGCTGCAGAAGCTCAAGTCTGTTCATAAATAAAACTAAAGTAACTTTAAGTAGCAGTGTTACAAATCTTTTCCTAGTTTTAGCATAATTCCAGGGTAAGGGGAGGCTCCCCCCTCACTCTCCGCCTTCCCTCTTTCCTTGCCCGTCCCCCCCC